GAGAGAGAGAAAGAGAGAGAGAGAGAGAGAGAAAGGGGGGGGAGGATATGTTGTCATGCGCATTTTATATTTCGTGCTGCAGAGTACACTGGTGAAAAGTCACTGATATTTCCTCCTAACACAGTCTACATTATCTTTCTGTTATTCTCGAATAACACGCCAAGCAGGTCTACTCACAGAACTTTTGTCTCTGGAGCCTTTGTCCAAGAGGCACTGCATCTGTCTGACTGTCTCCAACAGGATGGCACAGGGAACCGCTGAATCTGTGGCTGCAACAAACCTAGGGGAAAAAACTCAAGTTTGACTCTAGATGTCCATGCGTGTACATTTTTGGGTCAAAATACAGTCAACAATGAAAAATTAATACTCATTTATAAAGGCTTTTATAAACTTAAAATATTCACCACACACACACACACACACACACACACAGAGAGAAAAAAAAATAGTAAGGGAGTTCAGGGCACTTACTTTCCTCCTTTGAAGTATTTCGAATCAAAATGGCATGCCAGCACAATGCGCTGAGGTTTATTAGGGTTGTGGGTGGCAATGATGTTGGTGAACTCCTTGGTTCCGTAGGGAGTGCTGTCTTCAAACCTGTCCAGCTCAACATGCCAGCCCCACTTCAGAAACAAAGACTTGATGTGCTGAAAGAAATTGAAACAAAATAACAGAGAGTGTAGATTCCATCGTTTATAGAGTGCACATTGTGAGCAATAACCATGTCAGGAAAAAAAGAGCTCAGTAATGAGACACTCAACATTATTCATTGTGGTATGATATATATATATATATATATATATATATATATATATACACATATATATTCATAAATAAGTACAATTGAGAACAATATGAACATAGATTATTTCAGGTGCTTATAAGTTTTACAGTGTTTGGGCGATTATTAATTTTCTATTACTTAAAAACCCCCATTTCAGTTCCAAAGGAACACATGGTATGATGGTTTGTGATAAATTACCTTAGCACTACTAAGCTGAACTAAGAAAAATATACATACTCACATAGATATAAGAGGAATGCAGAACCGCGTGTGTTAGATTTAGTTTTAAAATTGAGCACATTCCATCAAAATACAAAATCCAGCAACAGAGAGACACAAAAATAATATAATCATGCATTATAAGATGCAATGAGCATGAAACTGACACTAGAAGTATTTTGTTTCCCCGGCACTTGAAATGAACTAAAATTTATAGTAAACCAATGTAGGTTGCCTCTTGTAAAAACAGTACTTACCTCTTGAACTTTTTTATTTTCTTCAGTTCCAGAAACTCTGACAGTTTCAAAAGGTCCTAAGATGTCCTTTTGGAACTCATCCATAACAGACATTTCTTGCACTAAATACCGCAAAGCAGAATCTTTGGTCACCCAGCGGAATTTCCTCGGGATACTCGTCTGGGTCTGGAAACATAATTTATGAAAGTAATCAATAATTATTACTGGTAATCAATAATTACAATTAAATTAGAGAAAAAAGCAGGAAGTAGCGTATTATGATACTAGCAGTATGAATTCACTCCACTCTGACCACAGATTAGGGAAAGTATAAGACTATTGGAGAGTGGGAGGTTAAGGCTAGGACAGTTTCCAGGAGTGCTGAGTGATTTTGAAGAAATGAAAGTACATCGGAGCTTTAAAGTGTGAAAACTCATTATAATTTTTCATGCTATTCATATCCTTGCAAGAATGGTTATTATATATA